TGTAGCAGCAAATGATGTTCTGTTATTAACGAGGACTGTGTAGCAGCAAATGATATTCTGTTCTTAACGAGGACTGTGTAGCAGCAAATGATATTCTGTTCTTAACGAGAACTGTGTAGCAGTAAATGATATTTTGTTATTAACGAGGACTGTGTAGCAGCAAATGCTATTTCTGTTCAGAAAGACTTCTCAAGGATGACAGATGTGCAGTAAGTTCTGATATCCAACTCCCTCTAGGATCACTACCACCAGCGTCGGTCGACAATCAGAAGAAAAAAGCACACACAGGAAAAACGAGTTTATCTTCACAAGTGGCAGGAAAACATGCAACACAACAGACCAGGGAAAAGAAACGCTGTGACAGCATTATTATGTGGAAACTCACCAGGTCGTTACATTCCATGTCACTATGTCCGTTATTATCTTGTGTGTTGACAATATTCCCCCAGTGTATATTTCATTGTAAAAGGCTTCATTGTAAGGCTGTCATGTTCACAGCACACCACTTTTCCCTGCATGATTTTCCAAATTCATATAGTTTACAGGGACGATTGTTTTTCCAGCACGTTTCAAAAGTTCGATCACGCAGATATCCATAGACTGTGTCCATCAACAGGATTGACATGTCTTGGTATGGGATAGTGTGAATATCCATTTCATCTTTCAGCTGTTCAAGTCATGTGATGGTTGACAAAGTATATTATGGAGGCAATTTTTGTACACGTGACTTGTGTCCAGTTTTCCAGATGGAAGTAATTTTTGATAATGTTGCCTGGGGCACATGGATGTCTTCTGACACTAAGATTTGTGGTTTATGGTTCGCCTTTTATAAGGTGCTGCACATTTCTTACCATGGCTGGGATAGAATTTGCTGCAGGTCTCTTTCTGGATGGTCCTGGTTCCCCAAGATGATCTGCTTTAGTAATTCTAAATCCCCAATCTGAACAGATCTCTTTCAGGATGGTCCTGGTACCCCAAGATGATCTACCTTAGTAATTCTAAATCCCCAATCTGAACAGTTCTCTTTCTGGATGGTCCTGGTTCCCCAAGATGATCTGCCATAGTAATTCTAAATCCCCAATCTGAACAGGTCTCTTTCTGGATGGTCCTGGTTCCCCAAGATGATCTGCCTTAGTAATTCTAAATCCCCAATCTGAACAGATCTCTTTCAGGATGGTCCTGGTACCCCAAGATGATCTACCTTAGTAATTCTAAATGTTCAATCTGAACACATCTTTGATTTTGGTATATGAATATTTTGCATCTGAAAAGGCTTTTATATACTCTTCCCAAAAGTAATCAGTTTTTGGTGGCAGTCACTACTTAGGAAATGTTAAGGAATGTCAAAATGTAGTTCTGATACATGCCATTCCACTACAGTTTGATATTGGCTGTGGTTGTCACATTACTTGCATTACTTCAAATTCATTTTAGTACTAATGTACTTAACCCTGTTTAGTATTGTTCTTAGTTTAATTCCATAACTTTTGTAGCATTAATTTTTTTATAGAATTAATTAAAGGTCTTTTAGTTGTATTGACAGCTTCTTATAGACAACATTTGTTAAATAGTATGATCAGAATTTACGGTAGGGACCTTATTCCAAGAGCTAAATTTTCTAAAGTAAATAAAAAGTGTCCTCCCATCTAACACGTGACATTTCTACAACCAACGTTGCTGAATAGTTGTGCTTTAAAAAATTCCATTAATATATATTCTCCATTAACGTCTAACAGTGGCACAAAGTTGTCACAACATATAATACATGTTGTCAATTTTACCAACTATTCAACAACGTTATAGAAACTTAATGTGTTAGCTGGGAGGACACTTTTCAGTTACTTAAAGAACAACTCTAACAACTGAATTATTGGGAACAGTGCTTGGTATTAATGATGTACTTATTACAGAGCTAAGTGAATCTCAAGGTTGCAGTCTCCATCTGCTTGCGATGTCATTGTACTTACCTATTGTTAACCAGTATGAAACGTAGCATAAAGAGCATGTGGTCTTACTTCGAGCTAATAGTGTTATACACAACCATTATTTAAAAATAAAAAACAAGATATTAGAGCCTTTAAAATAACATTTGTTGTTTTTAGGTCTTCCAACAGCTTGTTTGATATGGTGTGGCAAGAGGATGGCAGTGTTACCTTTGTGGCCAACAATGGAAAATATGTTGCTGCCAAAAAGAGTGGGCACCTGTTCGCCAACAGTGACAAGGTAGACGATATGGAAAAGTTCTATTTCTTTCTGATCAACAGACGTAGTCTGGTTTTGAAATGTGAGCAGGGCTTCGTCGGTTACAAGAGCTCAACGTCTTCCAAATTAGAGTCGAACAAGGCTTCTTATGAGACCATTACGATGGAGAGAGATGAGAAAGGGGTCTGCTACTTCAGAGGTGACTACTTTCTTTTAATAAAAGTCTACTGATGTGATAAACATCTACAACATAATTTAAAGTGTCAATTATATAAAAGTTTAATTGCACAAGAAATGTTTGTCAAGGAAACCTTTAGAGAAGTTAAATTTTTAGATTTTTTATGATGTCATTATGTCTTTCTTGCCTGCAGATGGTATGTCTCTGTGTGTGAGATATTAGCTGCAATCCAGATATATCTCCAGATCTAAATGCACTGAAGAATAAGTAATTATGAATCATACCTAATCAGTACATCTTCCCAGAGTAAAAACCACACTAAAAATATCATTGATCTAAGTTGGTACATCTTCCCATAGCATGAACCACACTCAAAATATCATTGATCTAAGTTGGTACATCTTCCCATAGCATGAACCACACTAAAAATATCATTGATCTAAGTTGGTACATCTTCCCATAGCATGAACCACACTAAAAATATCATTGATCTAAGTTGGTACATTTTTCCATAGCATGAACCACACTAAAAATATCATTGATCTAAGTTGGTATGTAGCTGGTTAGTTCAGCTGGCTAGCTTCTCATCAGATCATTTGTGTAGCTGGTTAGTTCAGCTGGCTAGCTTCTCATCAGATCATGTATGTAGCTGGTTAGTTCAGCTGGCTAGCTTCTCATCAGATCATGTATGTAGCTGGATAGTTCAGCTGGCTAGCTTCTCATCAGATCATGTATGTAGCTGTTAGTTCAGCTGGCTAGCTTCTCATCAGATCATGTATGTAGCTGGTTAGTTCAGCTGGCTAGCTTCTCATCAGATCATGCATGTAGCTGGTTAGAAATGATCTGATGAGAAGCTAGCCAGCTGAACTAACCAGCTACAGAAATGACCTGATGAGAAGCTAGCCAGCTGAACTAATCAGCTACATGCATGATCTGATGAGAAGCTAGCCAGCTGAACTAACCAGCTACATGCATGATCTGATGAGAAGATAATCAGCTGAAGTGTGTAGCTGGTTAGTTCAGCTGGCTAGCTTCTCATCACATCATTTGTATAACTGGTTAGTTCAGCTGGTTAGCTTCTCATCAGATCATGTATGTAGCTGGATAGTTCAGCTGGCTAGCTTCTCATCAGATCATGCATGTAGCTGATTAGTTCAGCTGGCTAGCTTCTCATCAGGTCATTTCTGTAGCTGGTTAGTTCAGCTGGCTAGCTTCTCATCAGATCATGCATGTAGCTGATTAGTTCAGCTGGCTAGCTTCTCATCAGGTCATTTCTGTAGCTGGTTAGTTCAGCTGGCTAGCTTCTCATCAGATCATGCATGTAGCTGATTAG